CCCCAAAACCCCAAAACCCCAAAACCCCAAAACCCCAAAACCCCTATTTCCATTTTACACATACTGAACTTTATAATCATTATTAATAAGTGAAAATCAGATAATAGAGAAACTTCAAGACCCCAAAATGTGCTGAGAACCTCTTCCTCTGAAGAGGTATTCTCTAGCACTACTGGTTCAAGAGGGTTAGGAAGACTTTCTAATAATTTGACTTAGTAACAATTAGAATAAGATTCCTCCTGTAGATTTATCTTCTTGTCCTGTTCTCTCCATCTCTGCAATAACACTTTCAATGTTGTCTTCGAATACTTCAATTTCTTGTGGTAGCTGCTTGCAGAAACTTTCTACTAGATCATCTTGTTTCTCTTGAGGAGTTCTGGTATCCTCAATTTTTGTGTTCTCAACCATAACATACTCAGTTTTACTATCTTCAGAAGCATCATTTGGAATTTTACCCTCCTCAGTCTTTCCTTCCTCGGTCTTGGCGCCTTGAACTTCTTCGTTTTCTGCTTTATCAAGGATAGCTTCAAAAAGTTCTCAGAGCTCAATCAAGGTGCATGAATGAAGAGTCCTGGCTCTAGCTCTCTTGTAGCCAGAATCCCTTAAAAACTTAGTGGCCAATTTAGTATCCATCTTATCTAACTTAACCAAGGTATTAATGATTAGTTGCCTTGAGACTCCATATAAAAGCTGATTTTCAACTTCGATAAAGACTTTACCGAGTTTTTCGAAGTTCTCAGTAGATATCTTCTTCGGTTTGTGCAAAGTCTCAAGAGCAGTCATCTGGACTACTCTCTCAGGGTTGAACTTATGCATCCATCTGTTGTAATACTTCTTCTTGACTTTATAACGTTTGGTGATAGCCCAGTTCCTTGATCTCTTTGGGACATCATAGAACCAGAGAAGCCAAAGAATTATGAGGTACCCAAACCTCCTCTTTTTCTTCGTAAAAGCTTGAATAAACTTTGTGTAGATCGGTAACTTAGCATAAGCCTCTTTCTTATTTATCTCAATGATAAGATTATTCATTGCTCTTCTAGATAAGTAGTTCTGGGTCAGATGGTTAAACGAGAACATTCTAACAGGCATCTTAATAAGAGATCCTGCCCTAGAACCTTGATTCATAGTTTTTGATGCTTGAACCTTTCTAGTGCTATTAATCTGATGTTGATGGCTCTTCCTCAGCAGCCGTTTGGAGAACATTTATTAAATTATTTTCCATCACTAAAATATTTTAAGGGGTTTTGGGGTTTTGGGGTTTTGGGGTTTTGGGGTTTTGGGGTTTTGGGGTTTTGGGG